GAGAACAAAACCACAAGACACAGTTACTTTCCATCTTCCCTGTACTCATGCAGGGGCAGACATGCTAATCTTGATAAACCCACTAGTAATGGATAGTCTCTCTAGCAGTTGCTTGTGAGACACACAAACAGCAAAACCAAAAAAAATAATTAAGCTTTATGAAGAAAAACTGTTATTTAAGCATATAAAGAATACACATGGAAAATGAGGAGGAAAAAAAAGATGGAATATGTGTTTCTTAGAGAAAAGTCTTAATAAGCAATAGCAACACGGTTTTACCCTTCACTAGATGCAATGCAAGCAGGTATTCCCAAAATGATACATCTATCCATTGTCTGCTACTCTCCAGAAAAGCAGCTGTGAGTGCCAAAGCATATGTCTCTCCACTAACCCCTCACCTAGCATTACAAACACTAAAACAAATCCTGCCACACTGGTAGAAATGAGCATAACTCCCATGAACCCCAACATACAGCTGGATGTGAGTTTGTGTGAGCTCATCCTTACACACCACTGAAGATTTGCTGCTCCCTAGGGGAAAGAAGTCCAGCTCCTGTTAGATCCCCATAGGCCACTTCTGATACTTGGGGGGGGGGGGGGGAAGTTATTCTAGCAGAGTACAAAAAGCACACATTTCATTACAAAGCTGGAACAAGAAGAAACATAACAAAAAATCCAACAAAGCTAGACTGCTTCTTGGCTGTTGCAGCTTTCACCCCTTGGGTTCTTTGCCTTCTGGGCCAAGGCACAATTTCAGCATATTTAACTCTGCCCAAATATTGGCCTTCTGACAAAGGACATAATTGGTTCTTTCCAAAGTGTACAGATTAATACTCACAATCTGTTAAGTGCAAATGCATCTTTTTAAACAGATCTTGGCTAAAAATCTGTTATTTTTCCTACAATTTGGTTCAGTGATCCTGTGTTTCAGAGGAAGTTAAGTCTGACAGTTCTTAGCTAACCTAGCATAGAAACTGTTGGGATGCAAACCTACTACCACCATTTTTTCTGATTTTCTGTAACATATCCACCGTAGCTGCAGTGCACACAGGGTTAGGAGATTCTCACCTTCACCCTCCAGCATCTGTTCACAGCTGACCTACGCAATCCCATTAGGATGATCTATTTTCCTTGTTATGATGTCATTGATCATTTTAAAATTATACATATACTCTATAAGCAACAATTTTCAGCTCCTTTCAAGCACTAGACTGCTCACATGTAGCAGAAATACAACAAGCTTAAAAGCAAGAGTGCTCAAGACTGTGTGACACTCCTACCTTCAGATACACACAATTATTTTTTGAAAGGAAATATTTTCACCAGCCATAGCCTAAGAGAAATAGAAGCAAAGGATCTGGGAGTTCCTTCACAAAAACATTGCCAGTTCTTCACCATCTGCATCTGGTGCATGTGGATTATGAATCAATTCAGATGAGCAACATCCATGTTACCTCTGTGGAGGACCAGCCTGTTCTGAAACACAAACACTGCTGGACCACACCAAGCAAAAACAGCTCCAGATGTTCAGAGCCAGCTCAATCCAAAGCAAAGAGGCAGAGGAAGGTCTGGCAGAGTTTAACTCTGCTTACAGCCTACACCAAAAAAAAAGAGGGTGAAGCTTCCTGACATCAGGAACAGGAAGGAGAGACAATATGGAGATACCAGAGGGCATTTAGTCAACTCAAACCCATCTGGGTTTCTCTCTTTTGGCTTACTGCCAGCTCTTCCAGACAGAAGTTGGCTCCCTTGGAGGTACAAACCTGGACTCATTGGCTACAGAGCAGTATCATGTACATATGCATGGTCAGCTCTTAGCTAAGACTGAGCCCAGGCTGCTAACCATCCCCCCAAAATGAATAGAAACAACCCTCAAGAACAGCAAAGTAGCCCTTAAGAGGCCTTAATGTGTCAGGGAGGCTCTGCCCATCTCCCTTCCACACATACTCCCTGAAGTATCTCTGTTGCCTTTTTTTCCAGCCTCTCATCTGGAGCAGCAGAGCAGCTGATTCAGGAAAGTGCACATCATGGTTAAAGTCAACCTTCTTGCTCCTTTGCTCACTAAAAATTAAGTGTGTTTATCTCCCTAACCTTAAGCTATATCGCTTTCTAGTCCGAGACACCACGAATACAGACAGGGCACTCACCGGTTTCACCCGAGGAGCATGTTCCCTGGTAAGCACCCTTTTGCCATTCACACCCGACACCATTACAAGCGCAGCAACAGTGAGTGACCCATTAAACACGGCAGCTGGGACGTTTGCTGTCGCCATTTCATCCAACTCCCACTGCAGGGATTTAACTCGCAGCAGCAGAATCAACAAGACGGAGCACTGAGCGTACACACCAGCAGTGCTACTTACAGCACCACATCCCTCTCTAATTAATGAAAAGATTCGCAGAATCGTGCCACTTAAAATCTCACTGTAAACCAACACACTGCCCCAAATCCCTACTGTAGTGCTCACTGATCTAAGCTTTCATTTTTTTCCTCCGAGGGCAGCCGAACAGAAGGTCAGCAACCAAAGGCAGTCGGGAAAGAGAACAAGGGCCCCTAGCAAACAAAGCTCTGAGGGGAAACACCTGGTGCTCAGCACACCCGATAGCACCAAGACAGCACAAAGTCACACGAAACCAGCAGCAGTTCGCTGGGGGTAGGGGGCACAGTTCATGACGCAGCTGTGAGACACCCTCCCCCCCAAAACCAGTAATAATTAATTCCCATTTTTCTAGGTACTTTTATGATACTCAGCACCACATGATGACTTTTTAGTCAGCCTAGATGCAACTACCTCTGCTACTCTTAAGAACCGTTAAAAAAGTAAAACACGATTCCAGCAACCGTTATTCTAAAAGCACCTCTGATTTCTCTCATTCATAAGCCTGCATGTTTGCAAAGAGATATTTAAATTTGCTTTTCACTACTTCTAAAGATTCCAATCCAGACCAGCATATCATAATGAAATTTTAGATAAAATGAAAATGCAGTGTGTAACTAAATACATCACAAGGCAGCTATATATAAGTGAACTTACTACCCAGTTTGGAGTAGTTAAGAAACCATTAGCATGAAACTCCATTTCTACATTAAAGCCGGACAGACTCGGGGAACAATTCACTTAGTTTTTTTAGTTTTTAAGTACACAGTGTCCTACTGCAGCACCTAGGCATTTGTGAATTACAGTGAAACCATGTAAACAAAATGAAATATTAATCACGGCAGTCCTGACCATCTGACAATTTCTGTCTTTACCAGTATAATTATATTTACTTAGTCAACATGATAACCATGTTGAATAACAATTACTTTAGTTCTATGTGTCCATCAACACTTACACATAATATTTGAGAAGTGAATTAGTCTAAACTGTATTAATATTTATTTAATTATAACAGAACTGGTGCTGGCACTTTTTCCAGGGTGAGAAATTGTCCTCGCTAGTGTGAGCTGGTCCTTTGGATATCTATGTCATACTGCAACAGCCACAGGAAACAAAAGGCTCAAAGTGATTTAAATACCTTTAATTCCTCTGGGGTTCCCACAAAGAGCTAAACCAACACTAAACACGCATTTGTGTTCTAACACCTTGAAAAAAAAAAATCATCCTATCAGTATATAGCCAGTACCTAAAGTGCACATCTTTGCACAGTAGCTTCATGCAGTGAACTGCCCTGTGTCCGCACCAGTGTGCTGCTGCTGCCCATCACGGCATGCATCAGGTCACTCTGGGAAGCCTGTGAAACTAATCGCCCCATCACTCTTCAGCAGTAATCGGTCCCCTCTATTTGGTCACTTAATTCCCTCTGCATCTCTCTCCCTTGCTCTACTGCTGTATTAACCAAACAAACCAGAACACCAATTTCCATGGAATCAATTACACGTGTTCTTCCTTGAATTAAAGCATTTAGGTCAATCCTATGAGAAGTCTCTCTCCACCCAGGATCCGAGACCAGAAATAGAAGTCAATTCCATAAGCAAGAGTTTGGGAATGCGTCAGTAACTTTTTGTCAGAAAATTACAAATCCACAGTCTTTCCAGAGGAACACAAGTTTCAATCAAACTTCTATGAAAAGGTTTCATATCCTGATGGATAAGACAAAGGGCTGTCAGTAGCCTCTTACCAGGCCGTACAGGGGACAAACTTCTATGCCATCTAATTTACCTAATGGATATACAAGCCTTTCTTTTGTTTTTTTTGTTGTTTTGTTGGGTTTCTTTGGGGGGGGTGGGGTGGTGTTTTTTTAAATACGTTTCATAAGGTTTTGTTATTTTAATTGCAGAGTTAAAGTTAGACAAGCAGAAACAAATATTAGGTATACTTAAAAACATAGTCTAAAAGTTCCTCCTTGTTGTGAGATATTAACCGAAAGATTTGTACATGCTGACAACAACTCAGCTACATCATTAGCTTACAAGAGGATGGCTGCACTCATTAAACAGTCACCACGCGGATGTTTCTCTCAAGCAACTTACACACCAAACCGTTGGCAAAAGAAGCCTTCAAATAAAGAGCTGGAAACACGAGAGGTGATACCCAAAACACTGTGACGATTAAAAACATTGCCACGAATCCAAGAGAGGCCGGTAATGTTACACATCCACACAGGTGTACGATTTTACGTCGACCTCACTTAACCATCAGGTTGACAGACTTCTGTAACAATTCTTTCCTGCCGGGTAGGGAAGTCCTCTGCTGCCAGCCGTGCTGCTGCACATCACCCCACCTTTGCTGGCTGCCGGCCTCCAGCACCCCCTCTGCAGAAGCGGGTCTCTCTGCCGAGCTCTCCTGCCCTAACGCTCTCCCCCAGGCAATCTGCTCCCCTTGACAGCTGACTAGAGCGCAGGGAGACACTGAAGCGCTAGACTGAATTCACAGTTAAGTCGCCTGGTAAATGGAAGAGGTGAAAAAAAAAAGGGGGGGGGGACTAAACGCCTCTAGATTTTAAGAAAAGCAAAAAAAAGTCATTCTGCTTACTAGCCGTATCCACGCACTCCTCACCTGAGCTGCCTGTGCACTTCCTCCCCGGCGCCCGGGCACTGGCCTACGCCGATGTGCGCTGTCCCAGGGCAGGGGCTCGGCCCTCGCCCCGCGCCCACAACCCCAAACGCGC